ATAGCGCGGAGAAAAATGTTATCGATATAAAATCTATTTTTATTCCGGCGTAGCAGCGCAAAACGAGCCTCGATAATCCCGGCACTCTCGAGCTGCTAAAAAACGCGCAGCAAGTACGACACGCGAGCGCGCGCAAGAGCCCTTTTTGTGCGAATGTGCGCGCGCGAGGAACCCTCATTCAGCTGGAGATTAAAAGTTTCGTTTCGCAGCGCCGCCGCCGTTGCTCCGGTTATCGCGTCGTCATTTTTTTCTTTCTTCGCCGACGACACAGCAGCTTTGCCTTTATTTTACAGCAGCGAAAATAAGTGGAAAATAAAGTGCGATTCTCATTAAAATAATTTGTCAGCGAGCAAATCCGATTACTCCGACGGCGCCGTCGCGGCCGCCACTGCGACGACGAAAGAAAATATTTCTAGAGGATGGCACACACCGATTATGCTAAACTCGAGATTCGCTAATCTGCCAAATCCTCGCATGATCGCTGCTATTTTTAAAGTTATTCGAATTATACTATTTCCCTTTCCACAATTAATACTTTATTTTTTCATGCTTTGACTTGAAAAGATAGTGACCGGTGGAAGAAAGGTTTGATTGCTGAATTCGAAGCGTTCAATTGAACCGATAGATCGTCTTTCAAATAAAAATCCCGAAGGTTTCTTGTCAAGATTATTTCTTTTGGAGTGAGCTTGCGAGTGCGGAATCTCCGCGGTGATCAAGACTGCCGACGAAAAAAAAAAACAAAGAAAGGAGAACAAACGCGGAAAGTAATCACCGCGAGCCCTCATACGGACGAGATCGTCGATGTGAAAAATAAAAGAGAGAGAGAGAGAGAGCGAGAGCAAGAGCGAGAGAGAGAGAGAGAGAGAGCGAGAGAGATGAGAAAGAAAAGAGAGAGGAGCTGCGCGTTTCCACCTATCGCGCGTCTAATTGCAAAGTTGGATGAAAACAAGGAGTGCTCGGCAAACAGCAGCCCCAAGTAAATATAACTTCCGTTCGTCAGAGTGCGCTCGTGTACAGAGTATCTCTCGGGGTGACTCGTGTGATGAAGGATCGACAGGGGGAAAAACGGTAACCCCGGCGAAATGAATCTTGCCAACGGAGAATCTCTTATTTGCAGCTCATTACGGGCCAATATTCTATCCCTTCTTCCATCTCACTTTGAGCACTGCTAGAGGCCCATTGTATCGTTTAAACTCCAACTTCGTTACTCTGTTTGACTTTGTCGGACTTTCTTGCCTTCGTTTCCTCCTGTTTTCGAAGGGGGCTAATTTTTCAAATGTACATTAATGACACCTTTTAACATCTTACACTTTCATCCAATCGAGATAATTACAATTTCGAAAGACACTGAGTCGGCAGGGTCGAGGCGAAGCAACTGCAAAGTTAAAACTTTATTCGTTTTGCGAAAATGTTTCTCTGCGCTCGGTTAGTTTTCTCAGGAAAATCAGCAGCTCGTCGCGAACGGACAGTACAGCTCTGCGTGTCTTTCAAACTGCAGCTTTGTGCTTGAAAGAGCCAGCCAATTAATTAAAAAACAAATAGCATTTGGCAATAGGGAAATGCAAAGGTATCATGCGCGCGGCAAAGAGAGAGAGAGAGAGAGAGAGAGAGAGAGAGAGAGAGAGAGAGAGAGAGAGAGAGAGAGAGAGAGAGAGAGCAGCAACACTCGACAGCATGAATGCAGAAAGAGGGACGCCCTTGCGAGAGGCGAGGAAACTCGATTAATTATATGGAGGGAGTGCGAGCGCGGCACTTTAGCATTACGCATTCCATCCTTTCGCTTTCTGCCGAGTGTGAAGAGGCATTTGCATTCGAGAGTCGGCCGGCGAGTCGTTTGCCATTTCGGGAGATTAATAAATTTATCTAGCATCGTGAAAGTGGCTTTTTGCAATTCCGCCGTGCAGGGGGAGTATCAGCTGCTCTGACGAGCAAAGACTCTCCTCGGGTACCAGTGTTTTATTTTTGCAAGCACGCCGAGTAATATCGGCCGAGCTTTAGCCGGGCGGCTGAATCCAAAAGTTATTGGATTTCTTTCGCTAAAAGGCTCTTTTCACGCTAGCTAAAAAATAGATTCTACGGAGATCCAGCTTTATTCAACGTGCCATAAGGAGCCCGATGAAATAACTCTTTTCGCGAGCGCAACATTCCAATTTCAAATTGTATTTTTAATCCTTTCGATATCTTCAAATTTTCGAAATTAATCTATCTGCAAGAATTATTACCTCAAAAGTCTGAATGGAAAATTCAGCAGCAGACGGCGATTTTAGTGCAAGACAATAAATCATACGAGCGACAGATGTGTTGATTACAAACTAGGACATATAAAAAGAGTACCAATCACACCTGCTTATTACGAAAAAAGAAACGAAGAGTATTATGCTCATCAAAGTTGCGCCAAGGTGATTAGAAATGAACAGGTTTCATATAACTTGTAAGACGCTATGATGGAATGATGTAAGCGCGCGCCTCGACAACTGAAAAAAATTTTGTTAGTATCCAAGAATTTATGCGCGGTTGATGTCAGCAATAATTCCAAATCACGTTTTTGTAGCAAAATCATTTTACTTTATGATTCAACGTTCATTTTTTTCAGGAATCTCATTTACTATTACATAAACATTATTAAAGATTGAATTCATCGGTTGTCTTTGCGATATTATATTGTTTCACGCTATAAAAATATGACGATTATTCGATAACAGTTTGACTGGCGGGTTCATGAAATAGCAACGAGCAATTTACAACTCTAAGCATGTAATACATTACTGTCTTCTTATAACTGCCAAGTTGTGCTCCCAAGAACATTGTCATTTTTAACATGATATTGCACTCACTTCAAACTATGAAAGTTCACAAATTGCAGCAATCTCTCTGTAAAGTCTACTGTAAGCGAAGAATTTATCAACAAGTAAAATCCAATATAATCGAGCCCGGAAGTTGATCCGCATGCTTATCAAATATATTTAATTTTCGTCGACCCAAAAAGAGAAATAACTGAAAAGTCGGAGGCAGTGCGTTCGCAATGAAGAAATATGCGTCTGCCTGTGTCACTCTATCATTTGACTGCGTGGGCGAAGACTAATGCAAAAGTACGTCAAACATTCGTCATCTCGCTCTGTGGCTGTTGCAATTCATCCCCAACGACAATTTGACTGAATAATTCATGGCTCAGCTTGACTTTCGCGAGCACGAATTGAACATGCAAAAGTGTCTATCGAACGGCGCTATGCAAAAGTAAAACGTATGATAAATGGAAGTGACTGCACGCCGCGGGATAAACGCGATCGCCAATCTCGTAATTGGATTTCGATGATCATTGCAGTTGGAGAATATTTTAATAATATTTCGGGCGTGTATATCGAGCTGCGGTGCCGGTCAGTGATATTTATAACGAGCCAATATTTACAATGCGCGCGCTCTCTGCTCAGTTTCTCTCTCGACTTAACTTAATTGCGAAATCCAGCTGAACACGAATCGATCGCGTGCTCTCTGACCGCGCAACCTGCACAAGGCATTATTAATAGTCGGGTCTCTCTCTTACCTGCCAGAGAAAATACCAGATTACGCAATTTTCAATTGCGATTGAGTTGCAGTGCCAAGCTTCAATGACTGCGCGTTAATGGCCGCGTGCTCTTGCGATAAACGATAATGGAATCGGCAAAGATGAGCGATAAAACGGCAGAATAAAAAAATACATTGTCAGCTAATTATAGCCTTGAGAAAGATGTGCAGCAACTTTTCAGAAAAATGCCGACGCGGAGTGCGCGACCAAGTTGGGCGTAATAGCTGTGGGCTAAACGACAAAAACCATTCTTTAAAAGTAACGCTAGAATTTCTCACGAGCGCGTCGAAATAGGCTGGAAAATTGGTTATCCGAGAGACTGGACAACCAGAGTACGATGCAATTTTCCTACGAAAACCACCGGTGAATTAATTCCCGTGCGCTCGCGCCAGCGAAAAACAAGAAAAAAGAGCGGCAACGAGACAGAGATAGTGGAAAGAGAGACAACAAAACCGAAACGAAATTCGAGTTCTAAATTAGTTCTCTCGTTGACCCGGCCAAAGTCCAATAAAATTTATTGCTGCGAGAGGAACCGAGGCTACGTCTTATCAAGAGCTTTCGGCAACTTTTTCTCCATATCATTGATATCTTATCGAGGCCAAATCCCCGGTTACATTGTTTTTTTGCACGAACAAAATACGCCTAACTGCTCGGAGCAGTCAAATGTCGCGCGTTCGCCGATGAGAGATAGGAGACGACGCTTGTAAAGCGAGTTCGTGACGCCACGCCGGCGCAGTAGTTCCACAGCCGGTTCGTTGCTCAACAACTTGCCTGATTTTCGAGTTGTTATCGCGCGATAGGTTAGCCCTTCCGGCTTTCTGGACATTCGTAATGAAACCTGTTCTTCAAACCTTTACGCTTTGCGAGGAATGATCGAACAGCTTGAAACTACTGAAAGCATTCATTTCTATATTTAATGTAGAGTAGGAGCTTGCAAGTACTATAGAGTTGCCAGTCTAGCAGACGAAAATCTAAGATTAAGCAACGTAAATAAATAATAAGCTATGGAATACTAGCGTTGAAAATATTTTTTTTCTAATTTTATCGTCGTTAATATACAATTAGTCTCTACAAACAGATCAATTTTTCAAACTATTCAACATTCTTTCAAATGTAAACAATAGCATTCTTTAAACACTGAATAAATGTGTGCCGTCACACTAAACGTTTATATTCACATGTTTACATTATTAAAAGCAATATTAATTTGTTAAAAGATAAAATATTGTAAAGGTTGAAAAAAAATTGAAAGTGTTGACGTGATTGCTCAAAGAAGTAGTAAAGAATTGAGTGATGGATAATTGCAGCAGTAAAACATTATTGATTGGGCGAGTGCTATACATCAAAGTATACGTGTAGTGCGTGCTTTGCCGGAATGAAATGTTGCATGTGGCTGCACGCGCGAAGGACAATAATAACGCGCGACACTGATACTCACGGTTTATCCGGCTGTGACCGGCGTGCCATCTGCTCGGCCTTCTGTATCTCCTCGGCCCGGGTGACGCTTTTCGTCCTCCTCAGTCTCATGCCACTCTCGTGTTCGCCGTTGCCTTTCATCCTTCGCCTCTTTTTTTATCCTCTCGAGCAAACACCAAACACACCCGCGATCGACGACCACTGCCTCGCTGTGGCCGAACGGCCCAACTTTTGAGGTTAGGCTCTCCTTACTTGCACCGTGCCGCGTACTATATCTCTTCCGCTCTCGCACTCCCGTGCACGCAGCTCGCTCCCGAGTAAATATATACACCGGCAGACGACGCGCCGCGCTGCTGGTGCTGCGGTTTTTTGCCGGCAAATAATAAAAACAGTTCACCTTCGTGCACGATGGCTCTGAAAAATGCATGGATATTTTTTCCTCGTCAGTGCCGTCTATCGGAATTACTGGTATTTTTACTCTATCAAGTAAATATATATCTAAATCTAGTAAAAATTGTTTTCTTTATGTTTTACTATTAATAATTACGTTGACGAGAGAGAGAGAGAGAGAGCGTGATTGTTTGAATAAAAGCATGTTAGTAATGCTTGACCTTAGCGATCAAGGCGTTGAAATAAAAATTGTTAGTTCTACGATGGAGGAAAACGTTACATCATATGTCTACGAGAATTACTTGGTCAGCTTTCCAAATTCGTCCTTGATACACATGAGTTTTATATAGCGCGCAAGCCAACGTCCAAGATAAAATAAAAAGGCGCAGTTGAACTGAGAGAGGCAACTATATTGGCACCTTTCTCAACCTAAACTTTGCATATGATACGCGAGGCATATATCGATTTCCGATGATAGTCAGCGCTAACGACACTCGATAACAGGGCACGCGAGCGCGAGCCGATAAAACTGAAATCATCAAAGGCTCGCGAGCAATTATCTCAGGCGAACAAACGAGTTGGTCATTTTATTCGAGCGTACAGCAGACAGACATATGCGACGCGAGAGGATTAATTAACGGTATGCGTCGCTCTTCCTCCCTCTCCCTCTCGCGCTCTCTCGGTACGCGAGGCCAATAGCATAATAGCGCCAGTCCCGAATTCTCTGGATGACACGCACCTGCCCCGCACCACTATATCCACGTATACGTACATGTGCGCACGTACGCACAGTCGGAGCAATGTGTACGCAAAGTCGTCGCGGCGGCGCGTGGACGACGCTTGACTGGCCCGTCGACAAACTTTTTTCCAACTCGGCGCTACATACGCAGCGCAGATAAGAGCGCCGCGAGTGGGGAGATATAAGCCGCACTCCGAGAGGCGTGCTGTTGAACTTTGTAACGCTCTCGTGAGAAACGCGTCGTGCAGCGCGGTTTCTTACGCAACGACTCGGCCGCGGAACAGTTTGCGATTGTGATATGCCTGCGACGACGACTCTGTCCCGTTAATAATGCGTAACGAGTCGCGCTTGCCCCGCGCGTCTCCGTTGTTGCCGCTCGACGAGTCTGCCACTTGATTTCGGAACACGACGACCTCGCTGCATTCATTCAGTTCAACTTCAGTCTGAAAAAGCGAATCCATAGCCAGTGAGCTCACGAACGAAAGTTCGTTTAGTGCGCAAAGCTCATTATATTGAAATCGTTGTTGTTGTAGTTGTGTTGTTGTTGTCATTGAAATTGAACATTAAAAGAACATAAATTGCGGTTGACTTCACAAGCTCGTATACAAGTTGTTAGTTACTCGGTCTCTGGAACTTAATTAAATTTTGAACTAAATGTTGTGTTCGCACTGAATCATGTTTATGCCTCTGCGAGTGATTTCACAACGCTCTCGAAACTGATATTAATTCAGCAGGCTCGCGGCGGCAGTGGCACGCGAGCGCCGAGCGAAAAACAAGGAGAAATTTCGATTACTCGCCGGCTTCGGTGCGAAGGTGAAAGGCGAGCAGATATTTGCACTCCAATTTTTCATCAGCTCCGCATGGAAGCCGCTGATTATAATAAACACGGGCGGCGTCAGCTTGTATACTCCCCTGTCGCGCCAGCTCTCGCGCGACGCGGCCGCCGTAGCCCGCAAACTCGTCGCAAATATTTGCCCACGCAGGCGTGCTCGTGATTTATCTTGCTCAAAGGATTCGGCAGGGAGCGCACGGACGTTACGGGTGGCGTGGCCAGCCCGGACAAAAGCAATTCTTCCGATGAGCCCGCGATCCCAGCTGGCAGCGCGACGTCCGAACTCGACGAGAGCTGTAAGATCGTTAAAACAGCTCTTTTATCAACGGGGCACGGCTCATCGGCGATGTGTTCGATGCAGCAGTTTACGACGCGCACTAAACTTTCTGGCCAGCGGCAGCAGACAGTGGCAGAGCAGCAGTAATATGCAACGCGTGCTTAGCCCGTCACTGGCTCTGAGGTTTTCCCTGGCTTTATCAGACGCCAACTTTAAAGCGCTCGCCGAATGCGATCCGCGCCTAGGTATGCGTATATACGTGTGCGCTACGTCGAACTGGGCGCGCGGCGCTGGGGCACAAAGCCAAACTTGCCGCAGCGAGAAAACTTATGACTAGTTCACTAAGCTCGTCTTGCCTCTCCCGCTCCGGGTCCATCTGCGCTCCGACATATTTTACCTGACTCTCTCGTCTATCACACTGAACCGCTCGATCTAAGAGAGGCAACTACAGCCGTCTCACGGAATAGCCTCGCGCGTCAGTATCTATCATTGATGCTCTACACTTTGCTCCTTTCCCTTATCCTTTTTCTTTCTTTTTATCGGATCGGCAATGGCGCTCACATCGCTAACTACTACTAAGCTATCTCAGTTAAAGATACTAATTTTCCTTTACTGCACACACTTCGTCGCGTGTGAATAAGCTGTTTTTTTTTTTTTTTTTTTTTTTTTTTTCGTTGGGTTGACGTGTCGAGCGAACATAAAACTGTCCCCCACTCGGCATCGTAGCCGAGTATTTATATGGCGCAACGACCGTCTACGAGGCTCGCTTTTACGAGCCATCATCGGCAAACGGCGTTTCGTGCTCTGTCACGCAAATGAAAGAATAACGCAAGAATAGCCGGCGACCGCCGTCGTCTTTTATCGCGATGACTGGATTATCCACGGCGCTTCTGCGACTTTTCCTCGTGGGCCTTCGTTTTACGAGGCCTTTAATTGGCCTGTAAATCCTTACGTCTTCTGGAATATTCGCGCGATTGATAATAGGCGCGCGAGCGCCGCTTCGCGTTGCAGTGGTTACACCAGACACTCGATTGCCGAGGCATGAATAACGAACGAGAAGCCGAAAGCTCCGTTCTTTCCGGCGTCAAAGTCGAGAGCAAGGAAAAACAAAGTTCCAACAATTAGTTTCGAAGTGCGCAAGACTAAGATATAAGTTTGCATTTGAAAATGGCCATATTCTTCGAAATGACAGCATAAAGGAGCGACGAAAAGAACTGCGATCTTTGACAGTCGCGCGGAAAAGTTAAACTAAAATAAAAGTCCCATCGGGTGGCGGGAGCAGCACCTTGACTTGTTGGAAGGGCGTCGAGATTGGAAAAGAAGCAAACTTAATTTAGATCGAGAGCCGCCGGGCGCTTCCCCGACCAAGTATAAAATTTCTGTACATGAAATTCATGAGAGTGTCCGCGCGAAGAGGGCGTACTCGTGGCAAACTTGGGACAGGGCAAAGTCCGAGCGTCGCGGGAAAAACTTTGGCAATATTGGTTCGATCGAGCGTCGTTGGGCGCTCGCGAGTCGCCGCCGCCGCCGCCGCCGCCGCCGCCGCCGCCACGAATTATTGACTCTCGAGATCCACTCGCGTAAAATCGCTCGGTCGCGGCTATTCGTATTCCGGATACAGGCGCGCGAGCGGCCTCATTGGATTCGAGGGACACGCGCCGGGCAGCGAGCTGCTCTTTGTTTTCCGCCAGGATGGCCGCGGTAACGATGATTGCCAGCAGTTTTCTCCACGGCGACGTTCGCTCGGCTCGGATACGTCTTAGTCCTCGATGCCTGAATTGATTGTCGCGAGCCATAGTCACGTTCTCGATAAACCGCTAAGCCTGGCGTGTCGGCGGCGATCCGCTCGGCAGTCCAAGTCGCGCACGCCAGTTGAAAATTAGACGTCGACTGGAATAACCGCAGCACTTTAATCAACATTAGCGCTGGCCTGGACGTGTCGCTGGCTTCGGCCGCTCCGAAATTAATTTGAGCCCTCTGAGAGGCAGGCAGCGACTGGCAGCGGCGCAGGTTGCGAGGGCGGGCGATATTTCAAAAGGGCTGAAAAGCTGTCGATACAATGGTGCCTCTTGCGTGCGCTCGCTCGCGCCATCCCGCTGGCTCGTCTCTCCTTGGGGCCACTAAATAAATTAGCTCAGCCCGCCCAATCGCGCTCCCGGCGGACGCTCGTCACGCTATTTTATCGTTACTTTTTCAGAGGACGCCCTCGTGCCTCCGCTCCCGCTGCCTCTTTCGCCTTCGCGCGCACCCTTTTAAAATGCAAATTAAATTTGCCACCCTTAAATCCGAATAAACAAACCTGCCGCGCAGTAACGAGATATTCCCTTGTGCATATTTACGCGCGGCAAATAGCTCGGGGACGAGGACGCGCGACGCTGCCTATCTTCACCGGACAAAGGCTAATTAAAAGAAGCTTCGGTCAAGCGATATTGAAATTAAATTTGGACTCGGCGTGAGTACAACAGCAGCAGTAGCTAGTTGATCCCCCGCATAAGCCAAGTTTAAGGGGCTATTAGTTAGCTCGCGACATCACCTCCCTGGGACAACAGGCCGCCGCGTCGGCGACCCGGCGATTCGCAGCCACCGCCGCACCTATGTTTACAAGAAAACTTTGCTGCCCAGCTTTAAGCGTGGCGATGTCGTGTTACACGCTCGGGGATGTTCACTCGGCTTTACCCTGGCTTGCTTTGACCGACCATCCACTCGAGCTCGCTCGCTATACCTGCTAACTGCATCTTTTGCGGTGAAAGTTTGCTCGCAACACGCGCCAAACAGCCCGACGGACAAAAGCCCAGCGTGAAGATTAGCGATGACGAAAAACCGATCGCGCGCGGCGCCGCGCATACCAAATGGATTTTCAAGTAGTAGAGCAAGAGCTCGAGTCAGACGGAGCGCGCGTACGAGCGGTTCGCGTGCGCGCGGGCCGCCTACGTTGGCAAAGGAAAGCCGAGCGGCACGCAGACGTACACTCGGAATAACGGCGCGCTCGGCTCGGTTTCTTTCGCAGCGCGGCCGCGTTCGCCAGCTCGTATGCTAAGCGCGTGGATATCTCGTGGGAGCGGGCTTTCGAAGGAGGCACACGCATACGCAGCCGAGAGTCGGCAAACCGCGCGCCTTGCCGGAGCACTCGAGCCATTGTGTACGCGAGCGCTTTACGCCGGATGACAGCGCGACTCTGCACTCTCTCTCTCGCGCGCGCGCGCGCGAGCGCACTCACACGGCAGACATAAAGGATTGCTAGCAAGGCGACTTCCAAGCAGCCGCGCGCACTAGCCAATTATATCGAGGCTTTGCCACGTACACGTACTCTGTACGCAGATGCTGTTTGCGCTCGATTTATTCAGCTGCTATAATTTCAGCAGCAAAGGAGAAAGAGGGAGAGAGGGACAGGCGAGGAGCCTAAGTGCGGGTGCTTTCATTGTGCCGGATTATCGGGCGCAGAATGCATAATGGCCAAATCTGCTCGACTCTCTCTCTCTCTCTCTCCCTCTTGTCTTCGCGCTCGGATGCGCCATTAGTATTCCTGGCACGTTCGTTATTAGCTATTCGCGGCCGCCGCCTCCGGCGACGATGCGCGCCGCCTCCTCTTTCTACTCTGCCCCACGGCTAAAACTACACGCGCAGCCGCCGCCGGAATCAAAGTTGCCATCGAACTCTCGTCGCCTCGTTCGCCTCTATGTCTACGGTTATGTGTACTCGGCGAGGTGAGCCCAAGATCTCCCACACGCGCGGACGCAACTGCCTGAAAATATACAGTCGAGAGCTCGAGCGAGAGAACTGTTATTAGGGCTTGTGCATACTTGTTCCATTTTTTTCTTCTCCTTTGTCAGCCTCTGCTTTTGCGATGGCATGCGTGAGCACAAAGCTCACGATCACCGGTGCCACCGGAAACTCTTACAAACGAGATCGCCTTCAGAATGAAAAGGCAAGACAACAGTGCGATAATTCGAAATTCATTTTTGCTTGCGAACACCAAGAAGTTTTTGTTTTACAAAGTACGGAATCGCGACGAGAAAAAAAAAGCGGCGACGTTCAGCAAAAGTTCGTAACGACGATTTGTTTAAAGCAAGCCAGGAAACTAAACGCTTGGTAGAGCTTGCAAACGCGCGACAAAGAGCGGATTTTGGGGGCAGCTTTAGCCCGAGGCTGCTGCTGCTGCTGCTGTTGCTGCTGTATCCGGTGCATTGGAGAGTAGAGCGGAGCGTGAACGCGAGCGACCTCATTGTCAGACTGCGCTAATTGATCCGCCTAAGGTTAATAGGCTTTAACGTCACTCAAGCAAATGTGCGAGCCACGCCACGCCAGTCGACTGCCTGCCTGCTCGACGCGCGCACATTGCCAGTCGAATTTTAGATTGCGAGAAAGCAGTTGTCTTTGAGTTTTGTACCAGCGTTTGCCTTTTTGTTAGTTCACTAACGCTCTCTCTCTCTCTGTCTCTCTCTCTTTCTCTGTGTCTCATCGTCCGCTCCACAAATCTATATAGCTAACGCACACAAACTTTCTCTGCAGGCTTTTCATTACACGACAACGTTCTATCGATTGCAACGATCGTTCATGAACGGTTATTAAATTCGAGCTTCCGATCTCGATTTTCCAGTTTTTATAGTGGACGGAATCTACTTTGATTACATTGAACGTCAAAAAGTATTGCTCAACAGAAATATTCCCTGTCGTAAATAACAGATTTTATGTAAAAATTTTCGCGAAATCATAAATGTGATATTCAATTTATTTTATTATAAGTAAAAAAACTGTGTATTGAAGACGTTCTCTTGAAAATTACTTTTCTTTAGATTTCCCTGAATTTTAAAAATAATATTCTTCTTCATTACTTATAAAGTGGAAAATAATTTAGTATATACGTACATGTAACGATATTGAAAAACGAAATATTCATCGAAAAGTTAAAGCTATTGAGATTTCTCTGATTGTCTTGGCAATACATAGTTGTGTAACGGTATGATCTGCACAAAGGTTTAAGGTTTCATTACTTCCATGCGGTTGATTTACATTCTAATAACTATATGTGTCATCTTCAAGAGATCTTTAACGTAAGCAACGCTGTTAAGCGACAAATAAATTGAACATTTTTTTTACTTTCAATTCGGGACAGCCAAAAAAAGATAAGAGAATACAAAAGTTTTACCTATATAAGTGTTTTAACGGACGTTGGCACGAAAATCAAAAGAAATCTAGCGAAAGCCGCATACGCGAGTGCAATCAGCGTGAAATGAGTCTCGATTTTGAAATCGTCCGGACGGCCGGTAAACCTGCAGCATCGTGGAAACTAAAAAAATAACGACGCAGCGCGGCGAATTAACAGCGCTGTCAACACAATCAAGAACGTTTGTCCGTTTTCTCTCTTTTTTGTCTTTTTACGCCGCATGCCCTCGGGAAAATTAATGACCTGGCGGCCGGTCGTCGGGGATGAAGCGCGATGGGCGTATTAAAAAATGGCGGAGGCAAATAAAGTCCACGCTCGTCCGGGCGTTTCATTTGGTGGACAAACAGCCAGGCCGGGCGTATTTATTCGTAACGATTAATTTTGAAATATGCGCATCGCCACTTTAGCCGGACGGCAAGGGCGCGCACATCGCGCTACCTTCGCGGCGGAATAATTGAAAACAACGATTTTGCGGGACTTTTCCCGCGAGTAGCGCTCGAGACTGCTGGAATGGCAATTTCACCTGCAGATGCGTTAATCGAATCAGCGCTCGCTGGCTGCATCGCATTCCGCGGCGCGCCCGGGCGCCGAGCGCGAGGAAATAAAACTTTCAGCGGGTCTGCCCGATAACGCCGGTTTGGAAAGTGCCAGCGCCGTTTGTTAACATTTGCAAAGCCATTAGAATGATTGTCTAGTTAATAGATTTAGCGAGGCAGCAGCGCAAGTGTCGTTAAAACAAGTCCTTCATAATCTTCATTTAGGAATAAATCAAGCTAAACTAGCGGCAGAGGGTTTCCGTGCGAGCCCCAAGGGAGGGTTTACGTAATGTTTTATAGCAACAGAGTAGTGCACGATCGGTTTTATCGACTCGCTCGCTCTCGAGAGTAGAGTAAGTGGGAGAGAGCTGAAACCCTGCGCTTCCGCAGTGTACAGAGTAGAAGTCGTGTTCACGGCAATTTGCACGCAAATGTCTCCTGGCGTTTGCGCGGCGCGCGCGCAAAGCCGCGAGCGCCCCATAAAAGCGGCAAACCGACAGACTCTAAACTGCTGCTCCCGCTGTACACTAAATATGAATCGTAAAAGACGCCGTAAGGGTAATTGTATGATAATAGCTCGCGAATAAGCGCCATATGCGCTCGAACGCCACTTCCTCCCGTTGCTTCCCAGGCCCTTGCTTCTCTCAACTCCATTCAACTCACTCGCTGCGACAGCAAATCGACCGAGCAAAGTTTGGCTGCTGACTAATTTCCCAACAGTAAAAACGCATCTCCTTCGTCTGGCAAAGTTTATGACCTCGGGCCGAAACAGTTCAACCTAAGAGTTGTACCGCTGCTACTTTCATTCCTTTTATGTCAATGGCACCCACCTTCGTTGCACACTTGTAGCCATTTCATTTTATACTTGTTCCGGAAAATCAAGCAAACCTCAGCCTCACTACGCTCGGATATAAACTACTTCAACAAATTGAAAATAAACTAACTGCTTGATAAAAATTTATTTGATCCACTGCTTTGCGATCAAACCTTTCATTTTGCCAGCATAAGCCCGTCTATTCTATTAATAATAGAAACAATAAAAAAGCCAATCGAACAGTCCAACTGCACTTCTGAAGTCAGAGAACCGTTTTATTCTCAATAAGACCAACAGATATTTACCAGCATTCGCATCAAAATTCTCGGTGAATCAAAGCCCCATGAATGATCCCAGCGAGTGTTCTCATACCTACCAGGTATATTTTTTTTCTATGTACTGCACTCGTTGCCAGCTCGCGCAAATTAACCGTTTTTTCCGCATGCACCTTTGTCCGCGCGAGCGAATCTTTCACGCGTGAATGGCTCGGAACTGCACTCGAGTGCTTGCGCGTGCTGCCGGTAAATTGCAAGCTTCGATAAACAAAACGATGAGATAGCTACGAGCGAGTAATCAAATCCTCGAGTTTCGATCAAAAATTTAATTTCGCTATCGTCGCGCGCGGCCGTAAAACAAACGGCAAACCAAAAGTTTTGAGGCGTACAAATAGGTAAAGAAAAAATAAAGAAACATAAAAGAAATAGAAAGAAAGAAATAAAGGAGAGAGAAAAAAAAGAGGAACGTCGAGGTCGTGAATCGAAGTAGGATCTGCTGTCTGAGGTGGACGAAGAAAAACCGGAGCTTTTACGGGGTGACGAACAGCCAGTCGATGTGTAAACCATGAGGCATCAACGTCCTATGGATCTAAAAGTCAGAGAGAAAGAGAAAGCGTAAACGAGAGTTCTTTTACGGCGTCGTTGAATTGGAGAATTTCATCGGTTCGATCGCGAGCTTTAATTTCTAGCTCGAAATTCCGTGGAGGATTTGATCGGAGGACCAGGGTCAGGAAGCCTAATTCGATTTTGTCGGGGGAACGTGGGCAGTGGGTCAATCAGCGTCTCTTCGGCCACTTGACGTGGGATAATCCAATTTCTCGTGGCCGACAAACTTGTTATACGCTCAAAGTATGACGACGACGGCGGCGCTGACCAGAACAACGCCTCCCTTTTCATTGTGATGCGCGCAAACTAGAAACGAACCAAGTTGCCATCGCGTCCTCGGTCAGCGTGTCTTCGACAAGAGTTGTGTGGCCGCCAACGCTAATGGCAGCTGCGCGGCTTATCAATATCCCTGGGATTTCGATAAAGCGCTAGTTGCGGGCCCGCCACCGCCATCCAGATATATTGCTTTGCGGCTACACTGCATCAGTTGTCCTGCAACGCCTGATCATGATTGTCTAGTGTTCTCGAGGATTCTCCTCTTACTATTGGATTACCCTCTTACACGTTGCTCTCCAGCGATCGCGTCCGATTCGCGGCAAATCGCACAATTATCTCACTGTTACTGCATCAACAAATTATTCATCACTTATTTTTTATTAGCTTTTCATGGTGTGGATAATAATAAAAATAGCATGTATCATCGTTTACAACATTTTGGCGTACCGCAAAAATGCATGAAAACAACAAATATACGCACCGAGTGCGTGATTTTCGCCAAATACACGAAAAAACGAAGCCTTTTGAGCTTTCGAGTAAACAATCCGCCGAACTTCCCATTGAAAAAGCAATTGGTTTCACGCCGTCCGCAATGTTTGATCGTTCCTTTCCACTCGAGTTTCAATACAACCGCGCAGTCCACGTGCATCCCCGATTGAATTCTCATCAACCTCGTATAAGCGAGCGATGAAAAAGGGCCTTACATCCATTAGGCGGCAGAGGACAAAGGCTATCGAGCGGCGGGGCGACGATATTAAAGCGGCGATCGTCAATTATCTCTACTCTGTAGCGCGCAGACACTTGACCTCACGCAACACCTGGACACGCGGACGAGCAAGCGAGGTTGCCTGCCTGCGAGCGCTGCCAAACCACCAGGAAATTGTCTCTCGAAAGCCGCCACTCCGTAATGACCACCGCTGCCGCTCGAAATTGCAATTGCGCGCTCGGAATTTCGAGAGAAATCGATCCGCACGCACCATTGCACACTTGAGCCGCCACGCTAATTACTCGGATGCTCGCCAGTATATGCGTGCGATGTGCTGGTTCAAGGAACATATATAATGCTCTTTTTTACATTCACGAATATCGTGCTTTATTGTAACAATTATAAACATCCGCGTACTCGATACTAATTTCAACTTTGTTCACTTTTAAATAATTATAACAAAATAATACAGCCTTCGTGGAGCTTATAAAAAAAATACAAGTGTACATAGTCGATCACTCATTTGAAGATGTTTTACTAAAATGTACATATACTTTCAGCCGTTGTGCCTATATGTCTATGCGTGAAATATTAAAAACGTGATCATACATAGTTTTATATTTCGGCCTTACTGAACATCGCAAATCCAGCTAGCCTCCTCATTGCCTAGCAGTCGAGCGCGTTCTCTTCAGCAAATATTGCTACATTTAATTGCACCCGCTTTGAATGCGAATCGTTTTGTTCTACACCTGTATCAATTTATTTTATCGCATTCATTGATATATAAATTCACTTTAGTTCGAAAAATACAACATCTGACCAACTGATAAAAAACAGTACGTGGGCTATTTACTTTACAATCTATTGGTATTTTATTACACGTATATAAATATTACGTTAAATTGAATCTACTTCAGCTGGTATTTACGTTACCGTTGAGCTACTTCAGTGCCATATGTTTGTGTTTTATCAATTAGAGTTCAATAAATTCCAGCTAAAGTTGACGTGAATACTAGATGACATTCGACAACTTTCGAAAACATAACGCATGGCCTGAAAAGAAACTTTTTACATACCATTGTCAAAATTATTTAGACTTTACCGGCTTTTGATACATACTACGTAAGATTGAGCAGTTAGTAAATATTTATAAATGGTTTGCTGTTTGTAATACCTATCAAAAAAGGCACCTAAATTATATTAGCACAGTTTATTCTCTTATTTTTTGCTTGAATATTTTTAGACGCCTGTTCCACGCATAAAATGACTTGTATTAGAATCGCGCTTGCAGTATTTATACATCATTAAAATTATCTAAAGAATTTGGCCTATAATTTGATTAAAGCTTTACCAACGAGTATGTCCAGCTCGTCGGAAAATTAATTTCGTATCATTAACTATTTTCTATTTGTTGAATTACGTATGTAATTTATGGGTGATACGAACCGCATAAAAGGGCCGATCACAAGATAAAGGATTTGGCAATTTGAAATTTTGATAATCGGTATTCGCGACCGCAAATCTAAAAGTAAACAAAAAGCACATTTTTCGAGAACCGAAAGTAACGGAAAGAGGAAAAAAGGGGTTGAGCCGATGGGGTTCATTTCATGTAGTCTATTCGCGCAGTCGTAAGATTCACTCGGCGTAACACGGCGTCTCCCAGCGAATCCTTACGATTTCGGCTCTGAGAAAATTGCTGCCCTGTAGATGGGCGGGGAGAGAGCGAGAAAGTTGCAATTGCTCGAGCCAATTGGTGCGAGCGCGCGCGGGGCTTTAATTGAAAAGATTGAAGCTAGTGCGGAACCATAGCTATAATTTCGGCATGGACGAGGAGGACGGCGAGGAAGTGAGATTGTGAACCTCGTCGAAAGATTTCTTGGCAGCGCTCTGGATCTCGTCCATGCTGCGCTTCGTCATTTCGGTCAGGTCGTCGATTTGCCGCCGAGTCGAGGTCAGCAGCTCGTCGGTCGTCTTGGCGGCGCTGTTCGCCAGGTCCTTCATCTCTGTGTCGATCTTGTCGATCGCCCACTCGATTGCTTGTCGACCCTACGAATCATTTCCATTATAAACACTTTTCATTGAGATCTCTTCATCGGTTTTTTTCATTGCGTTTTTAGCTCCACAGTCAAGCTTACTTGTCGACTTTCAAATGGCTTCAGTGTGCTCACTTTTTCGACTTTTCAAATACTACGACTCGTGCCAATAGGAATATTCGCAAAAATATACAACTGCGGGCAATGTAATTTGGCACATAATTTATTGGCTAATTGAAAACAAAACTATCGGTATTCCCATAAATTGCTGGTGCCGATGATTTATATTAAGACTAATATCAGAATTGCGGGCGAGAAAGAGAGAGAGGGAGAGCTGATTATCGGATGTCCCATTATAATTAAGCCATAGCAAGATGCTATCCGCGCAATTTCAGAGGGTCAATAGATTAATTAAACGCGATAAAATGCAATGGAAGAGAGCAATTAGTCACGAGCAGTACAGCAGAATGTCTGTGAAAGTTTATTAGGTATAATAGGAGGGCTCATATAGAGCATAGCTATACCTTGCCGGCATTGAAGGAAATCTTGGATGTGAGGAGATCCTCCATATAATGGGTGAGCGGCACGCCGTGGACCTTTACGACCGCCTCCTGGGTCAAAAGTGTCTTGGCTTTGTCCTCGGGATGCGGGGTATATGTGACCGTCTCGTCGACCGTGATGTAATTGTAGAAAGTCAACTGAAACAGTAAAAAGGCCCCGTTAAATTCAATCCATCACTTAATTCCTAAGTGGCTGGCAATCAAACTTTTATTGTACGCTTGCCCCATACGATTGCCCGCTCGCTATGTGCCTGAGCTTTCAAGACTTTGTTCTTTATAAGGTTCTTCTTCGTTGCGCTAAAGAAAATCGATACGAGACATGAGTCTTATGATAAATTGATGATGCGCCCTACAGCAAATGGTTTTTTAAACTGTTGCTCGATATCCGGGGCAGAGCCAAAGTAATGCATATTCAATGAAATGAAATCCGAGTTAAGAAGCTAGTGGCAGCAGCAGCGCCACCGTTGGCCTGATTAATGGGCTAAACTTCAGTGGCAACTTGCACTAGGAGATACGAAATTCGTTTTCAAAGCCGAGCAATTAAATTTATCAACCGCAATGACGTTTCGTTGCAGATCAACGCGAGTCAGTGCGCGGATAATTGTGAGCGCATAACGATCGAGCCCCCACGCCAACAACGGAGAAGTAAGGCGTTGATCTCGAAAAAGCCTTTTCTCGGTTTCTTTGCGAAGAGAGTCCAGAGAGGAAATTTAATTTTCACGAAACGATTTGACGCACCTCTTGCACGAAAGTGTACGCCGAGCTTTTTTCGATTAAGCTCCCCACCCCTCTCTGCCTCTATCCCTTTCGAGCTGGTGCCTGCCACCAACAACACGCGTCGTCTGTTGAAGAAACGCACGAGAATATGAGAGCGAGCTGGAAACAATTGAATGGCAGGGAAGCAATGCGCTTCGCGCGCTTGGAAATTAACGCCTACGGCGGCATTGTCGCGGCAGCAATACTGAAAGATTGCGCTCAGCTACATTGGCTATCAGCCGAGAATTCTTTCCGGGCGCGCACAGTGTAATACATCGACAGACGACGACACGCGTAGCTCCACGGATAAATAATGCGGAGTGGCGTTCGCCTCCAAATTGAAAAATGATGAGCGAGCGCTTTAGATTGACTGGAGAAAGAGAGTTGCACCTGGCGCTCGTTCATCACGCTACCTCTTCAGATTCATCCGACCGCGAGTGGCGCGATGCGAGGCGCGCATCGACCGTCCCTGCCAAACGAGCTTTCTGCCTTCGAGAGCCGCCGTGGCTTTCTGCTTGTTTGCGCCCCCAAGAGCCGCGGCTGATTATCTTAGTCTACCGAACAATGGGGGAACACAGCGGTACTTGACAATTGTAAAACCCGCGGCCAGCTCGTCAAGCAACATCGCCGGCGTTTTCGGAATTGCGCAGGCAGTTTAGCGGTTGAAATATGGAGTGTCGTCGTCGCAAGCTTCGCTTGGCAATGTGAAAAATGGCATCGCCGATGAAATTTTCCGTCGATCGCTCGCGCAGCTTGCAGCAGCAGCAGCAGTAACAACAGCGGCAGCGACGCCGGTGGCAACTCGGCTCAAGGCAACGTAATTATTCACCGGAACAATAGCGCTCGATAAACAACGTTTTGTTTATTCAGCCGATCGAGTTTGCGCCAAGCGCGCCAGGGGCGCGTCGATTATATTTCGGCGAAGGTGCCACGGGATTTTGATCGACTGCAGTTCTGCGCGCAGTGCCGCATGCTGCGTGCTCATCCTATTTCTTACGTTTGGCCTGCTTTTCTTCGCTTCAAGTTTTCCCGCGGCAATCGCAGGCTTAACGATCGGACGTCACTCGCTGCTGAGTCCTTCTCGCGACTCCTGAAATCCGCGGCGGTAAAAGCTCGCTAATCGAGCTACCGGACGGCCTCGATTGATCGGCGTAGTTTCTTGATTAGCACTGTCTTGGCGCGAGGCGGCGCTCGGACGACCGGCTAGCATGGTAATTGATAACTAGTTGGCAGCAGCAACGAGCCAAGGGACAAAGACAAGATGTCCCGTACTGCGATTAAGGAGGCGCGCTGCCGGCCGTCGCGACTTCTCGGCAAAGTTTCGCCGGGCCGCCTGATGGCCAAGGCAACTATGGATTTTTCTCCTTACTTTTCTTCTAATTTAGCTACAATTCTTTCTTTTCTCTCGCGGCCGGAATATTACACTTTCCCCGGGCAAGAGATGGCGAGCTTTGCCGCGCTCGCGAGCCCAAACTAATTTAAAGTTTAATTTTCGTCTCGTTTGTCATGCGACGCTCCGCCTTTGCTTTAGGGGGAAATCGGCTGCTAAAAAATTCACGTGAGAGGACGCTCGCGTTGAAGAAACTTCAGCGCCTCCTAATTGGCGCATCAGCTCGTCCCATTGTTGCGCTGGCGCGCGAACGACGACCACGAGGCGAGGCGGCAAATTGAAAGTCGCGCGCGGGACGCGCAACCTGGCGCTAATAAACGTTAACGATGTGTCGAGACAGCTATTCCAGCGCGTTATGTTCAATTTACTTTCGAGATCGGCCGCTCGATGCTAATGAACTGGAAATGGCTGCTCTTGCGCCGGGCGCGCTCGTCCGACTCGACTCGGCGCCGTCATACACGTCAGCCTCGCCGCTTGGCAATTGGCTTATCGCAATTTAATTGACGCGCATTTCCGTATTCCGGGCAGTCGCTCCGCGGCTCAAAAATGCTCATCCAATCAATATTGCTCACTTGGAAAAACACACGAAAGCGCCGCGAGTTTGTCGCGCGCGTGCAGCTGGCCTGTCCGGGCCAATCGAAAGCTCGCCGGCGCTTTGTTTATTGAACGCGAGCGTTCGCCTGTCGCTGGCCGCTGCTGGCCCATTGAAACGCTCGCGATCGCGATTACTCAACGCACGGCACACGTGTGCGCAGCACAAGTGTGTCACGAGATGCTCGAGCTCGTGTACGAAATGGGCCGCGATCGATCTCTCGGTTTGACAGCGGCTCGAGCGCGTTATGCTCTCCCGCGTTCGCTCAATTTACTCTCGGCCGGCCCGCGTCCGTCCGCACGCCGGCGGTTCTGCGCGCGCGTGCGTCACTTAATCGAACAAACGCCCTGTTTCTCCCTTTTTGACTTCCACTCGTCGATGCTCGACAGATCGCGAGCCTCGGCACGCGAGGACGGCTCCACGCTCTCGCTGATTGATTTCGATCAAGCCTTGTTTTTTTTCCATCCGCTGCTTGTACCATTCGTGCGACAGCGGCTTTTTCCGACGTATGAATAATGGCGCGGTTAAATCCGCAACGGCCATTTCGAATTTGAATTTCGGAGGCGCATTGGAAACACCACTGAAAAATTCAATAGTTGGAGCGAATTTTTGACGAAGCACACGCGAGCACACACGCACGCACGCACACACATTTACACGCGCAAAACGGCGACGGCAGCGTAGTCCATCAGGCAAACGCGCTGACGAACGAGTAGCGCGCGCCGCGTTTGCTTTTCATTTGGCGAGAGCGCAACAAGCTCTCCGAAAGAGCAAAGCACTCGAGTAGCCGAGTGGCGCGTCCGCACGACGTGCGATAAACAGCAACTTGTCCACGAGTTCTCTTCAAATCCCCCCCTCCCTAACTTATTTTTCCTTTTCGGTACTCTTTTGTTCGACAGACAACAAAGACACGTACTTTTTATTAGATTATAAACTTTAAATACACTCGTCGAGCAATTTTTCAAATTACAAACGAATCGTGGAATCGGTAAATATGCTTTCAGTGCTCTCGCAAATTTTCCATTACTGAATTTTCAGTAATTCAACAGCTCTGTAAATTCGGCTGAATGGTAAGCAAAGACAGAATTACAGCAGTGTCATGATGAATGTTTCCAGCAAAATCCGTAAAACGCAAAGTCAATCAAAGAGAAAAACGAGTATCGTTGATTGACAACTATAAACTAAATTCGTTAATTTTTCATTCGATTTCCGTTGATTTGATTGATAAACTTTTGGGCTAAATTGAAAAGTTAGGGGCGCGCACTGAAGTGTATATATGCAAACACATATCCGTTGTGAAATCCCGGATCATATCGCAAATATTGGTCGGCGCGGAAGAGGCTAGCGCTGAAGATTAGCGAAGCATACAGGCAAACACGAATAATTCCGAAGCCGCCGATGATCCATCAAAACTTTGCGAGCCGCCTAAGTCGTGTTGATCTCTCGGCGAGCGGGGGAGAGAGTGAGAGATATTCTCGCTTCTCCACTCGGGGAAACTGACTTCTTGTTCCGCTCCGATTGGGAGAGCAAACCCGGGAAAATGAGTCAGCGAATATTGAATGAAGACTATCTGATACTTGGTCGCCGATAGAACAATCGCGAGCAGAGAAAAAAGCGGCGAATCTCGTTAGCGCTTGAACAGACAACTGCGATTTTTGCACTGCGTTCGTGCGTTCGTAGCCCACGTGCGTGCAACTGGATATTGATCTCGTTGGCAAGAGTATAGCGTAGCTGAGTTTAAAAACCTGACGCTAAAAAAGCTGACAGTGAAAAATCAAGTTTTCACGAAAAACAATAGAAAGATCTCCCCCCCTCTCTTTCGATCCGATCAAATTCCGACAGGCAGCACAGTATATATAAAGGGATACATGAAAAATCTTGGGAGGCGATCGGCTTAATCGAAAAATATTGCCGAGCGGGTCTCGGTGGGTTCGCGTGCGCGCTTGTCTCGCTGTATTAAATTAAACGTCAATCGGCCGGCTGCAATTTTTCCCCCAAGATTGATATCGTGTATCTCGCGCGCGTTCCACCGGGGAGCCAGCGATATAGGCAGATATAGACTGCGTTTGTCGCGCGATCTTTATCGCACATTTGAATTTTCAGCTTTATCCATCTATTTCTTTTCCACCTGCTTTTACGTTCGACTCATAAAAATTGAGTACTCGCGAATGGTCAGAATTTTTCACCGTGGTCATAAAGGTTGCCCGGTCTGCCAGGCTTTTACGACTGTTTCGGCTCGGCCGGCTTCGTCAGCCACAGGACTTGGAAATCATTTTTCAACGGACAGTAGCAATAGCAGGAGCAGCAGCAGCAGCGACTCTTACCTTCGGAGGGCAGGAGAATCCGATTGTCTCGAGCGAAAAATCAGCGGTAGCTGTTTCGCATTGCGCACACGTCTATCCCTTCCGGGTCGCAGGATTTATCCGGCGTTTCTCCCCTTTATTTTCGCTCGGCTCGTTTCGATGATTCAACGGAAAGGAAGCCAGCCAGCCAGCCAGCCAGCCACCTCCCCCCCCCCCCCCCCCCCCAATTATCCACCGCGGCCGCTCGCTATCACCAAATAATGCCCCGTCAAACGAGAAAATAATGTAGTTGGCCACGCGAGTGCGCGCAATCTCATTCGACTCGAACGGCGTATTCGCAGCTCGCTGTCATATTCAACGTGCGCGCAGAGCAATGCCGCGTTGTGCACTTGGTGTGTGAGCGAGACGAGTCGAGTCGAGTCGTGACCGTAAAACGCTTACTGTCATAAAACCGCGCTTGATTGAACCATTCTAGGTGGTCTGATGGAAGTCCATTCTCTAAAACGCGAGTTCGTACGGACTTGATATATCATGGCTAACTATTTCGCTCGAGCTAGCTTCCACGCTACCCGATCCCAATCGCGATTACTTCCCGCTCTCTAATTTTCGCTCTAATGTGCCCCCCCTCCCCTCCCATGGCTCTCAACTCGTTAAAGCACCTTTGATCTAAAAGCTCGCACTAGCGCCGAGAGAAAAGTTATATTCCAATTGTTTCTAGAGGCATCCGGAGGCTAGAGAGCTTATCACCGGAGCCGTCTGTCATACTCTGGCAGTTTCGATTGCTCTGACGCATTAGAGCTGAATTATGGTCTTGGAGTATAGAGAGACCGACGCAGACTAACGTAATGGCTTTACACGCGATGCGACAGTTGGATCGAACGATAATAGTTGAGCGAGCTGCATGCATTAGGTAAGGAGAGAGAGAAACAGAGAGACACTTACATTTCTGGTCTTGAGAACCATCAGCCTGTTGCTGGGATCGACCTCACTCCTCTCGCTGGCATAGCAGATGTTCGCGTCTCCGATGAGCTGCAACAAAAAGAAGCAAGGGGTTAGAGCAGAATGTAAAAGTGTGATCGACAGAAATTAATTTGCCATCGGGCTGTCACTCTACCTCGCGTACTATCTCCCGCTAAAAAACTCCGAGTTGAAATTGATGGGGGCAATTAGCGCAGGTAATTATAATAAAAACAGAGCAATTAGAAGCCCATCAGATCGCGACTGCTCATTTGTAATTTCCGCGTTGGTGCCTCACTCTGACGAGGAGAGCATCCCTGGCAGATAAGCTGCCGTTCACTTGCCGTCCGGGCTGCAAGTTCGCCCAGGTGAGTGTGCGCTAACGACGTAAGGGACCAATCAAAAAGCAGCTCGCCGCGAACGCTACAGTTCACTTGCAATAGTCGCTCACGTGACGCACAGCGGAAGCGCTTTAGACGTATGGACGCTCGAGCGGGGCCGATGGCAAATCGCCTAGGCATATAACGTCATGTGAAATTGCGCTTTATCGCAGCGCAGATTTACTGCAGTCGACATCCATAACGTTTTTACGGCCTGAATCGAGGCTTTTACTCCGTCGAGACGGGCTACAGCGTCTTTAGATAACCATGTGTATCGTAAAATATTCATTTTTCTGGATGAATCTCGCCCTGCGCACCCTCACTATTCAACTTCTTAATCTGATGATTCTCTCTCTCTCCTGGCGCAAGCGTAAACTGTTTTACGCTAAACTACCACTTTTTTATCTTTTGCATTTCATGAATCTTAAAATTGTTTAATGCATACTAAAATACACAGACAAGGAGGGAAGGAGGCTTTTCTTTGTCGAATAACGCTCGCGTAAAAACAGACAATCCCCATTTAAATATTACAGACCCCTCTACTGGCTTATTACTCCAACTTGCCGAGTGTACGAATAATCATTCGAAAAAACTGCACGGGAGAACAATGTCTAGCGAGAGAGGCGGTCGCGGAAAAAGCGGTGATTAAAAAAAGAGGTCGACAAAAACGACGGGCGAGGGAGGGGGATAGGAATTGCGCGAGCGCAACGCGACAACTTCTCGACGGCGCGACGAATAAAAAGAATTGGGAGAAGTGCAGCTGGAACTCGGCCAACGGACGTAACATTGAGCGCGCTCATTATGAAAGCTGATACGACTGCGCGAGCGTTGTTTTGAAATTGCGACACGCTCACTTCGGGAGAATTTCCGGCCCGGGATAACTTCGCTTCAGCCCTTCTTTTTTACGGGATTAGGACGGCGCGACAATGAATTCGCGTTAGCGATGTTAGCACCTAACACGCTCTCTCTGGCCCCTGGTGCGCGACATCGCTCATCCCTTTTCTCCGATTTCCTTGCCCTACCGCCTCGGGAAAAACGCCAAAAAGGGCACCATTGTCGAGGAGGATTGCAAAACGCTTCACCCAAGAGATCAGCGATAGTTTATCTCTCGACTCTGCACGCTTTTTTCTTTTTTCGAGTCGATCAAGTTTTTTGTGACGAATCGTGAAAACCCATTTGGCATGCCTAATGTTTCACGCTTCATGTTGATTTCATATTTTCAGCTTATATTTTTTATCTAAGATATTCTCCTGCTACAGTATCAATAAAGGCTATTTATTTCACAATAATTTACGTGTATTCGTTTGCTTTTAATTATTTTAAGACAATTGGCAGAATAAGGGTTTAAGAAATAAAGTTGCTTGTAAAAAAAAATAGAAGCGTAAAAATAAACGACGTTACAAGATTCAACTTCAATACAGATCAAAGCATGATTTTTCTTGTGCCATTGCACCAGACATAATGACTGTGCCAATCAACTTTCACTGCGCATTGTAGACATCTGAACGACCTCGACCTTGCATAATACGAAAAGCCACGTGAACTATGAGTGTGCTTGAACGAGAATTTTTAATTCACTCTCGCGTTTCACTATCAATCTGTTTGACATTCGTTACTGCTAATCTGTTACTCATAAATTTTATTCTATTTATGTATACTAAAACATTATGTGATGCAAGCGTAATTTTTTTTGTATACATCCATTATACGTAGATCGGTGCTGAAAAAATTTAAAGATTGTGATAACGATAAAGATCTATGACGTTCATGATGTAAGAGATAACTGGATTATTATATTATTTTAATAATTTTAACAGTAAGAGGACTAATTAGAACTTATATATCACTGATAAAAGCTTGATAAAAAGAATACATCTTAATTCTTTATAATATAGGAATTTTATAACAATACAATTCAATTCCTGGTCAATTTTTGTATTACTACTAAACGTATATTACATATGTACTTTGGTTTTCTTGACTCACTTGTAATGATATGAATCACTTTAATTAGATAATGAAACATTGTTACAACAAATTACTACAAAAATTGGGAGTGATTAAAACTACAAAGGGTTTCAAGTATTGATAAATTAAAATTTTTTAATTTCGACAATATCTTTTATCAATACTATACTCTGATTTAATAAACAATAACAGGCAAGAAAATAATTCTCTGGTTTAATAAGAATAAGTATAATTTACTTTGATATACAAAGCTTCTATCAATTTACGTAATCTTTAGTAACTACCAAAATTAGAATAAAATATTTTGGTTTTGCGTCATGCATACTTTGTAAATATATTTGCTAAAGCTTTTAAGTTTTAAATAAAAACTCACTGGTTTTGTCCATCTTGGAAATCCCCATTGACTGGAAACAAGCCGATGTGTGTGTAAAATACCATTGACTACTTTCCTATCAATGACATCAGTCCCTAGCACTGATGGAGTTATTGGATTAGGATATTTCCTCCAAGCAGCTGATGCTACAGTTTCCCAAGAATGGCTATAGCATAAAATATTACAATTAGTCCAAATTTAATATGAAATTTAATTTACAAGAGAGCTCATAGAATAACCAGTGACCAATCAATGAAAACAAACTCTAGTTACAAATACACTTTAATGCAGTATAAAAAATCATAAAACACTCACTTGAATACATGTTCTGACATCCACACTTTCATTTTCACGTTTGAAAAAACAGATAAACACTATAATTTGTCAGTTGCAGACGACGGGAGCTACGAGAGATGATTCTTTATTAGGTTAGGTGCACTGCGCTGCTACAACCTAACATCAGAGACCTGATGTAAGAGAAAGACCTATTCAGAACAGTTACTGCAATGCTAATTTTTATTAACTCCCACCACGTCAATACTTTTCTCTCGACCCCACTACAAAAAGTGATCGTCTGTAAGTACCTTAAATGTGGGTGGTGGGTCAATGATTTTGACCTTGAAACCTTGAATATACATCACATTACCAGTATGATGCATATCTCATCATTCTCATCTATCAAATCTTTTGTAAATTGAAAAGTTAACCGCTAGGTGGCGCTAACTTATACAATTCAAATTCTGCAGAACAATTATAGAATTTTTAAACTGTTTCTTTTGAAATTTGAACTTTCTCAGAAGTGAAAAATCGTTGACGAATGACGAGTAAGTGCTATAATTTCAGTGATTTTTAACGTCAAAGATAAATAATACATTTTGTGCAGAATGAAAAGTAAAAAAGAAATTACATTAAATGAAAACAGTCAAAATTTATTAATGTGTTTTTTAATAATTTATGTAGATTCTCGAGTTATGCTGTAACCTGACAGCAGTAAGTTAAAAAAATCTTATAAAAGTTTTATATAAAAGTTTTACATAAATAAATAGTATATTGATTCTGAATCATGAAGAATCTTGAAAAAAATCAGCATTTTCCATCCCAAAAGGTAAGTGATTCTTTTCCAAATTTTCTTGTTGCAATATATTTTTATAATTAGCACCTAATATAATTTTAAAATTGAAAAAAATTAATCAATATTGTATTGATATTATCAATATTGTATATTTATCAATTCACACCTTGGGTAGCTTTCAATTTTCCTTGAGCTGTGGTATCTTTAATAAATAGTGGAACTTTTGGTTGGGGCCCTACATAATTTTCAATGGCACATTGAGCTCTTATTAAAGCATTTGGTATTTTCCTGCATTTTTCTGCTCTTGTTAAATATAAAACACATTGGGCCAACATAACATCCGATTCTGGCATGCCTATCATTTTGCAAGCATCCAAAGTATGCATAGCCATATCTAAAAATATTTAACAAAATATTTAAAAGCATTAAAAAATTTAAATTTTTAAACATTAGAAAATGAGACATACCTAAAGCTAAATCATTATCAAAAGCAATATTTTCAGTAGCTATATTGACTAATCTCTGGGCGATAAGTACAGGATCCTCTTTACACTCGAGTATTCTTGCAAGCCAATATAGAGCAGCATTATCATTGTTACCAATAATACTGTGATGTAACGCATTGTATAAATGATTAACATTACTGCTTTTACTGTCGGACAAACCAGAAGCTATTTCCAAATGACTTTTTATATCACTTAGATTAATAATATTTATATTTTCATAATTATTTCCTACTTTCACTTCCACAGCCATTTCTAGACCTCCTAAAGCTATTCTCGCATCTCCATCACAAACTTCTGCTAGCCATTCTATACTTCTTATATCGATAAAAAATTTTGGTTGCATTTGACTTTGTTCTTTCTTTTTTATTTTTGTACCTACCTCTCCACCCATTAATTCTATTGCTCTTAAAAGAATATGTATTATATCTTCTTTACTCAGTTTCTTTAAAACAAATACTCTACACCTACTTAATAATGCAGAATTCAAACTAAAAGATGGATTTTCAGTTGTAGCTCCAATTAAGGTAAATGTTCCAGATTCTACATAAGGTAGAAAAACATCTTGTTGCAGTTTGTTGAATCTGTGCACCTCGTCCATAAAAACTATAGTACGTTTATTTTGTTTTAATTGGATTTCTGCCTCCGTGACAGCTTTTTTTACATCATTAATACCAGCAGTAGTTGCAGAGAGTTTAATAAATTTTATTGGAATATCAGAATTTCTTTTACTTTCTTGAATTATAACATTGATCAATGAAGTCTAGAAATAATAGATTTCAATAACAGAATCGTATTAATTACCAATTTTATTTTAAATAAAATATCAATATCAAATAACCTTTCCACAACCAGGTGGTCCCCATAAAATCATGCTTGGAATTTCACCATTTTTTAATAAATCATTCAGTAAAGTATTTGGTCCAAGAAGGTGCTTTTGCCCAATATAATCATTTAAATTTTGAGGCCTCATTTTTTCTGCTAAAGGTGCATAATTATTTTGGAAATTTGAATTTGTTTTGGTTTGGCCTTGAAAATTATTCATACTGATGTTAGTATTTGATATATTTGTATTAGTTGTAATTTGATATTGAATGTTATCTAGTGTTTTTGATTTTTTTGAAGGTGGAGATTCTTGAATTTTAGATGTGAAAGGAGAAAGTCTTTTTAGTCTTTTTCCATTTGTTGTCATAACTACTTTCTGTAAAAATTATTTGTTACTATTTTTCAATGTCGATTATTTTCAGATATACATTATTTTCATTTATTCGTTAATTTTAAATGAAACTATCATATTGAAATAATAATTTTAATTTAATCGTACCTGTTTGTTATCTTTCAATTTTTATTATAATTTGGAAAAATTATATTTTGACCGGTCAGTGGTCACTGATTTTTTCATTCATTCATGTCTGCAAAAGTATCTAGTTAAAATGCACTTATATTAGCTCACAGCCAATCTGTTCACACGCGTACGACCGCGTTTACATACATTAGTTCGATAAGTCGAAAGCAGACGATAGATGGAGATAGTATAGTGAAAACATTCGGAAGGCGCAGCATGAACTCTGACGTCTCTGTCTCGCGCTTGAAACAACAGCAAAACTTAGTTGTGTATCGGTGATAAATTGTACTTAATTGTCTTCTGCCTAATCGAAGTAAGTTTTTAACCTACATACATTACTTTAGTTTTGTATCATTCCGCGTATTTTCTAAAATAATTCAGTGTATTCAACTCGCAAAAGCGGGCCAGGCTTCAGCTGTAAACATGGAAGACGAACATCAGCGCTATCGACGGGAGCAGGAAGAAGCCGTTTCAAATAAATCCGGGAGCTCTGCCAGCGAAGTAATTTTTGTGATTTTTCCAAACATCTGTAGTCTTTTACTCACTCTCACTCTCACAACGTTACTTGGACCGCAAACTAGCCGGCAATCCAAGATTATTTTGGAATTTTGCTTCGTGATTTTACCGAGTATTCTCTGTTGTACTGTCCTCCATACAAAGGTGATTGAAGTATCGTTAATTTTCCTCATAATTTCTACGGCAAATATTTTATCAATCCTTGCTTGGAGACACCGAGATGCTTTCAAAACTCAGTCAACTCATAGTATTAGTAAACTTGCGTTTATTACGAATTTTCGAGCGTTAACAAATATCATAACTGTAATTTGTATTTTGGCCGTCGATTTTACGTGTTTCCCAAGAAAGTTTGTAAAAACTGAAACTTATGGTTACAGTTTGATGGATACCGGTGTAGGTCTTTTTATGATTGCAAACGCTTTAGTCGCACCCGAAGCTCGACGTATTGATTCAGATTTGAAAATTTCCTTTTTCGCTGGATTAACCAGAACATTTAAAGACTGCTTGCCGTTATTAGTGTTGGGTATGGGTAGATACTTGGCTGTAGAATTTTTGGGCTACCAAAAGCACGTTACCGAATACGGGGTGCATTGGAATTTCTTTTTAACACTTGCCTGTGTGAAATTATTTACAGGTCTTTTGTCAAAGAATTTGAACTCGAGATATTCTTTTGTAACGGGTTTGTGGATTCTCGTAATGCATGAGTATGGTTTGAGTACACAGGGTTTAAAAGAGTGGGTAATGAGCGATGAACCACGGAATAATTTTATATCAGCAAACCGAGAAGGATGGGTGTCTATTCCGGGATACGTCGGATTGTACTTACTTGGCATCGCTCTAGGGCGGCTAATTCACACAACGTATCAAAATAACGACAACGAACTAGTTTTTGAAATAACTCCTAATTGTCGTATAGGCTACACCAAGTTAATGTTACTCGCATTAAAGTTGTATTTTGTTGCTTCCGTTTGTTACTGTGTAACCTACTATTGTGAACAGTATTTTGGTATATCTAGAAGATTGGCAAATTCAGGATACTGTGTGTGGATACTTACGTTAAGTTCTTTGCTTCTGACTTTTTTGGTGGTAATAGAAATATTTTTAGAAATAATTACTGGTTGCTTGAAAGAAAAAAGTCGTAGAAAGATTTCTAAACATCTACGACGAGATGATTTGAATAGCAAATCAAATATAAGCATAGTTAAAACGTTAGAAATATTTGAAGCTGTTAATAATAATGGTTTGTTATTTTTTATTTTTGCCAATCTGTTAACTGGTGCCATCAATATGTCCATCAAAACACTTAGACAAGAGGAGCCCAGAGCTGTAATGATTATGTTAGCCTACATGGCTGTAAATTTTACTTTTGTTCTACTTCGTCAAAAAGCCAAATACTTACTTCATGCCAAGAAGAACAATTAGAGGAAATTTTAACTACACAAGTATTATTAATTTATAGATATAGTGCTATAATACGCACAAGAATCCGTATAAAAGTTGGTGTTTCCTATAGAAATTGCTATTTAATTATTTTAACTCGGAGAATCATAGATCGTGTGATATAGTGTGTTGGTAGTAAATTACTAATTGTATTTGATTTACTAGTTCTATTAAATTATTTATAAAAATAATAACAGTTTTTTAGTAAATTACTACAAACCAAAGCAATTTCCAACATATTTTGATATAATGTACATTAACAAAGCTACGTTCAAACTTAATCTTAACAAAGGTCGATAGTTAACTTTGTGATATTTTACAGTCATGGTTATAAGTAAGTGTAATTTTTAACTATTTTGTATAATAAACTGTGTGTCATAATTCATCCTTTAGATATTTTTTCTCGTTCCCATATTTTAAAAACTTTTTGAACGCGTCATGATTTTTAACATATTTTTCAGCGTTTGATACGATTCTTATAAATTCTTCAACATCAAATTTATAGTTAGTGAATTTTGCATGGGCACCACCACCATATTGATGTGTTCCCTGCAAAAGTTATGAACATTTAGTATTAAAAATATTTTATTTAATAAAAAAATTACTATGGCAATGATTTTACCGGATCATCTTCTATCAATTTATTTGTGTCTTCCCATGTTAAATACTTAATACCTTTAAGTCTGGCTAAATCTTTATAGCAACTGGGGTCTTCACAATTATATCTAAATAACACAATTGAAAAATGAAGTTACTTGGACTATAGATCTAATTTGAAATTACAAATACTTATACTCACAATTCAAATCCAACCGCCCACTTTGGAAGAAATAAAAAGTGAGTAAGTCCAGCCCCATGGATACCAATGAAAATATCAGAGTTTTTGGTTATTTCTAGTTGTTTTTTGAAGGGCATGAATTTATTATATATGACCTAGAAATGTATATCATTAAATCTATTATCAACTTATTTTTTATTATTAATTATTATTATTTATTATTATTATTTATTATTATTATTATATTTATTATTATTATTATTATTATATTTATTATTATTAGAGATAAAAAATCTACCTTATTGACTTCATAGTTCGAATTTATATTCAAAGCGTTTACTAATTCATCTTCGTTCAAAATTCGACGATACTGAGTATCTCTGCTTAATAAAGTTACGCGAATTTTAGTATTGTTTCTATTGTGTAAAGGTATTCGTAGTCTATGTAATATATAGTCTGAAAATGCCGTAAAAAGTCCACTATCTTCACAGCCGTAAATCTGAAAAGATAAGAGAATAATTTCATAAACCACAACAATTTTATATAACTAATTTTCAGGATGGTTAGGAAAAGTTGAAACTTACTAAGGGTGTATTATAAAATAACCCAAATATCATTCTAGGTAATAACGGAAAAACCACATTTTTAAAACATACAGTTTTTCCTTTAAAACTTTTTAAATCCCATAACGGATGTTTCGTAAATGCCTCAAAAGTATCTTGAAATGCAGATCGGTAGCTGCAAATGTAAATGCACAAAAGAAAGTTTACATATAAATTATTCAAAATTTTATTCAAATTTCTTAAATTAAAAAATAAAACCTGTAACTTTCCCAAATCATGATATGGTTATCAGTACTGAATACGGATGGATGGGTAAGATTGACGTGTAATGAAGCATACAAATTGAAAAAATCACAGAAATGGTGATACATGTTTACAGCTGAAATGTAATGAATACTTTTTTTAATTATCAAGTGTGGTGTTTAAGGCTTTTCAAAAAATAAAATTACCAGCATCAATTTTAAGAATATACGTTGGTTTTTCAACAATAACATCACAGTCGCCATCTACTATCGGTTTACGAGGTAGTTTTTTAAAATTTCTTATTTCTGGACCCCAGGATTGTAATGGACTAATGTGATCAGCATTTTCTTTCAACTTTTGATCATCCAGTCTATAAAAATATCATTATAATAATTTATTATCGTATATTACTTGAAATGTCGAAAAAATTTAAGATTTTATTTTATACTTACGTACAAAACCCACCAATCTGACCTTCTTTCAAGACATCCATTTTATATCTAATAGGATCCTTTCTATTTAACAGATCCGTAAAATTTATCATAAGATTTCGACCCCGACAAAATCGTAAGTGTTCTGAACATTCCAAAGACGAATCATCCTTTGACAAAATGTTAATGTTGCTGATTAAAATGAAAATTAGTTACTTGACATTTATTGTAAGCTGACCTACCAAAAATAATGGCTGGCATAATAACATCATCTCATTACGCTGATCTCTCACATAGCCAAAGTCTCCTTGAGCATAAAATGTATCTAACTGCGCCTTCTTCGTAGCGACCCATCCTTTATGGTCTCCAGGACAGCGGGGCTTTGAAAATGAATGTTCAGATTTACATTCAGTTTCGTATCCCCAACATACTTCTTTATCTAAATGAACCTACGGGATTGGTTAAAACGACGTAACGGTAAATTTAATATTTTTTCGTTAACTTTCAATAAGAATATTTTCGAACCTTGTAGGGGCATGAGGGATCATTGCGACATTTCTCGGCAACAACAGGAAATGAGTTGAAATAATATTTTATGTGACTCTCCGGCAAATCAATATCTGAATAATTACTAGCATCAACGGTGGTTAAAAATACGAGAAAAGTCAATACCTTATAAACGTGTGAATTCATTTTTTAATTTGAGGCTGAAACAACCAATAATATAACTTACTATATTTTTTATATAAAACATAAAAAAACATTTATTTTTCGATGAGTAAAACACCCGTCACTGCGTAGGAAGATGGTTCTTCTTATATGGCATACCTATCATCTACATATTTCACAAGATTTTTTGTATGTGTGTACATACGTTAGACAATAAGCCATAATTTTCCAAAATGTTTAATTGAATTAATGAAAATGGACAACTGATAGCAGACAGAGTAAAAAATCGCGGATTTCAGTTTAAAAAAAATTGTAAACACACGTGTGACAGGTGTGCTACCGATAATACAGAATTGCCCACATATATAATTGTATATAAATATTTAACGTGCTTATAACACTCTACTTACTCATTTGAATGAACTTCCAGTGAATTTTCGAAAGTTTATGAGTGCACTCCACGAGGGAGTACTAAAACAGCGTCTAGATTCATTCATCAACATTTGTTTATAAAGACGCTAAACGTTCAACTGCTCGCACTTGTTTGACTTGGCTTACTGTGATTACATTCAACATGGCCGTTAAAAAAATCCCTCGATCCATCTGCCGGTTAAATTCAACAATGCTACATAAAATAAATATCTACTAGTTTAGCATGGGGTATATGATCGTGTAACGTTAATCCGAACGCTGCCGATAACCAAGATACCTGTTTTGCCGCCTCGTTGAGCCCTCGAGAGAAAGAGAATGTTTCGGACGAGGCCCCCTTTTCCAGCAACCGTATATACCCCCGTGAATTTCACAGTAGGAACATTTGAACCCCGACATTGTCATTTTAAGAAAAAAGCCAGAACGATTGTCTAAAAAAGCAACAACAGAAAGTAATCGAAGTAATGAGGAGGGCGTAGGTGTGATCATAAGGAAGATTGAGCAACGTGACCCAGAAAGAAATGGGAAGCAGTTCTCGTCATTTATAGCGATCAGTCAAGGAGACAACGCCACCGGCGCGTTCGCATCGGATCTTTCTCCTCTCTTTCTCCCTATCGATAGATCGGAGAAACGATCTACATCGATCACGATCACATCAGTGAACTGGTCTCGCGCAGCTGAGGCAAGGAGCAGCAGTAGCGTCGTGTATGCGGTGTGTGTGTGTGTGTGTGTGTGTGTGTGTGTACATATATACGTGTGTACGTATGCTGGCTTGACCGCGCTGATCCGAACGGTATCGCGAGCTTGCTGATCCGCTTTGCTCCTGGCAAAGCTCTTCCTATTTATACGGCTATGCCCAGTTATTTGCTCCGATCGGCGCACGATGTCTTACTGTTAGGATCATTAAGTCACAGCCTTAGGTTTTCCGCCAACTGCCCGCGCCTACTCTCGGCCACCGCGACCACGGATAACTTTATCTTTTTCCTCGTTCGTGACACACTTTGCACGGGCTCGCTGCGTCTGTTTTGCTTCCTTATTAGGCGCATTAGACCTTTTTCATAGATTGCATCAGAACTCTCTAGCCCTTTCTCTCTCTCTCTTTCATGTATGCCTATGCTCCGCGGGCGAGACAAAAATATACCGCCTTTCACGCCAATCTCATTTCCGCGATTGTTGCGGAATTTCGCCGACAGATGCAATTTTTTTATCCGCACTCGCGCGCGCGATAAGGCATACAGATAAAACGTTACAAACTGACTGACACTGCGTCGGCTCGAGCTAAGCAGGATAAATGTGAGCGCGCGCTCGCCAACTGACTTTTCATAGGATTTTCAAGGTATATTCAGGCGATATAGTTAGGCAGAGAGAGAGAGAGAGAGACAGAGAGAGAGCGACAAAGAGAGCGAGAGAGAGATAGATCCTGTCGCGAGAACGTTGCTTGCACGTATAGCTCATTGTCAACGCGACGTCGTAGTCGTCGCCGTCGTCGTCGACGTCGCGCAACAGCCTCCAATTGCCCGACACGGTGGCGCCCGCTGTCACACGGCCTACGCGCAAAATCTCAACGCGAGAATAATCTTTTTAACTGCCGCCACTGGCGCAGTCGCCTATGCCGCACAATGCAGCTACACCTTCATGACGAAATTTAGCCCTCTTGTGCATTTATTGTTCTGCTTTGCAGGATCGGCATTTTCTGCGCACTTGCATATCGTGAAAATGATAAGTGACACGAGCATACGAGACCCGATGCTTTTACGCGTTAATGAATAAAACTGGACTGGCATTTTTACCTGCCCAACCTGTCGCTGTTTCTGAGAAGTGCAAATGATTCTAGAGATGGGGATCTCCACTGAATATCGCATCATAAATTTTAGTATACTTAAGCAGTTCTCCGCTGCCGTATACATAAAGTGAATTCATGGTTGATCAGCCATTAAGTGCGTGTGGGCTGAAAGCGCCTTTTACAAGCTGCTGCTGCTGCTGCTGAAGCAGCTACTGCAATCTCGGTGCGTATTTATTTTTTAGCTTTTTTCGCGTGTGCCCCCGCTGCGCGCTGGCAATCGCAACAGAAGCTGCTTTCAGGTGTTAAAAATATGATTGTGACACTTGTCGATTTTCCGACTGGCAGTGCAGCCCGTTTGATGTCGGCCGCGCGCACCCATCTGCGCCGTCGTTAAGTATCAATTAATTGCAACAAGATAAATTATACATTTACGTTAATTGGCTTTCGGTAAAAATGCGCACGAAGGCGGCTTTTTACGGCTGATTGAAACGGAAAGTCGGACAGTGATAGTCAACGTCCCGCGGTGTGTTCACGATTCCACCCGCGCGCAAGCAACTCTGACCCCGTGGCTCATAAATTTAAGCTTCATAGCCGCTTGTCACCGCGACTTTGGCTGCTTTTTACGAGCTCGGCTTCGTTTTACCACTCGTATTCCATTTGTGCGATCCACTCACGGATATGTGCTCACGCGCACGCGCTGCGACGTGCAGCGACACCGTGGCGCTTGCGTCAATTGTCCTCACCCCCCCCCCCCCCCGTGCGTTGTACGTTAGTAAATCGAACGCAACTTTCACCATTAAAAGTCAAATTAGTGCGCGAAGAGGGGAATTCCCGCTCGAAAAAAAAAAATCAGGCGAAAGAGCCTCTCGAAACACGGCTCAATCTCGCGAGCAGTACCGTTTTGGACGAGCCACGCGCGACACAACAATGGTCTCCTCTCTTTTTTCTCTTCTCCCAACGCACGCCACATAAAGATCGCGCATACAAGCTCCGGATAATTGTCGGCGGGGCTTATCTTCAACACGCGCCACTCGACGGATGTAAAAGCGAAAAAAGTCTGCCATGCCAATAACAATAACCGTCGCGGGAGGCTCTCGATATATATATATATATATATATATATATATATATATATATATATATATATATATATATATACACATCTGTAGATATAAGGTCTTTTAACATCTCTATAATCTGCAAGTACCGATGCTGCATGTTCCAGGCTCGTTAACCGAGACCGATGTCGCGCGCGACTTTTACGCACAGTCGAGCGGCTGTTTGCGTGCGAGGACCGGCACCTCGTTACGGATGTTCGAGTGCCAGGCACTGCTCTGTAGCGATTATGAGCTTGGCGAGCGTTGCAATGCGAATGATTTGCGGTGAGAAACCGCGACGACGGTCGACGCTTGCTTTCTTCTTTTGCTGGCTCGCCGTGCAAGGTTCGATCGGACGCTTGGCCAGGGTTCTCGCATTACTGACCCACCAAACAGACTCCTCCTCGGCAATCTACGCTCGGCGTTACGCGAAATCATAGGGAATACAGAGGTAGATTTGCAGTTTACAATTCAGAAGGAAAGTACGCGTGTGCGCATTAAACGCGTGCTCTGGAAAGCTCGCATTAGCCTGGCGTTTAATCGTCCTAATGTATTCCATAGAAAGCCAGGTTATAGCGCAGCCGCAGCGGAGTCCCATAGGAAGTCGATTGTCGAGGTAGGCGTATCGGCGTTGCCATGGCTGCAAACGACGGGCATCAACGTCAAGCACGCCGCATAAATATCGCCCTCAGGTGCACGATCTCTGCGCTTTGGCGAAGCTCGCTGGCGTCGCCGCGATATGCATAGGCGATATCTCGCGAGCGCCGCCGCTGCTAGATGCCGCCGCGCAGGTGTGCTTTCCTCGTTCTCCGCCTCGTTGTGCAACGCCTTTCTTTCCCGCCGTTCTCGCCTTTCCATAAACGGCCGGAAGAAAGTCGCGAGCGCGGCCAGCCGCAAAAATTCGGCGCTTATAACAATGATAGAGAGCAAAGGGTCTCTCTCGCCGCAGACTTTACGGCTGCATGGAGATCGAATGAGAAAGTTCAGTTTGTCGTTCGAAAGCACGGCTCCCGTTTGTGCGTATGATAAATTATTGAATAATTGAACTGTGAGAGAATGGCCTGCGCTCGCGTCAATTATTCTCCGAGAATTTATTTACTTGCTTATTCGTTGAAAAGACTTGCCTCGAATCGAGGATTCTCTGTTTTTCGTGTTTTTTTCTTCTCGTGCTCCGCAGTCGCTCTTCCCTAGAGCGTTTAATTTTTTTGATGGCGAAATTTGTAAATCGAAGTGAAATATTGATTTGAATTTTCAAGTTGCGTGTTTCTCGGCTCTGCGCATGGGTATAACTGAGACATAAAGAGCTTGATCGATTGTACGAATTACTTTGGAAACGCCGAAAAATATTTACAAGTGCTTCACCTGAAACATCCGAGAAATGTCCAGCGAATACCGTTGCTTTGCGAACTTGCGGACAGAAATTCCAGTGCACGTTAGGCACAGTTTTTGGTAAGGTCGATTGATCGACTCTCCAAATTTGCGTCGCCTCTCTCGGAAAGAAATCACAATCATTTATCTCGGCGCAAAAAAATCCCGGCAAATTACTTATTTTAAATCCGGCCGTGAAATTTAGAGAGTTGGTGTCCCGGGGCTACAAAAAAAATCGCCAGTGTTTTTTCACGCGTCAGGCATGTCCTCACTTAAGGTTTGACAACATAATTCCCGTTTTCGGGGGTCGGGCGTATAACTGTTAGGAGTCGAATTTTCGCTCGCGCTCTCTCGGGCTAAGAGATATTCGGCGTTGGTCAGCTGTATAAATAGCGGTTGAAAAAGGATAGCTCACTTATCGGCCGAAATCGAGGAGAACAAGCGCGTGCGCTCGGCCATAATCGTGGATCACTGCAGCTCCGCCAGGCTCATCCGACCGACCGTAGCGCGGCGCGCCGTTCCTTTTCTTTCTTTTTGTCTTCTTTTCTTTTTATCGCTCGCCTATAAATTTCGCGCTCCCGATAGCTCTCGCTGTTCGCTCATCGAGGTCAACGAGATGCGAGCACACACGACTGCTGCAATGCCGACCGGTAATTACACAACCTCGCACTGATAATGCGCCGCGCCATACGTACTGCGCGCAAAAGAAGTTCGCCGTAGTTAGTGAAAGTCCGCCCGTTTAATTTACCGACCTACTGTTCTAATCTTATCCGACGCCGGCATCTCGTATATACAAATATGCTTGGCTTTTCAGATTATTGCCCCGGCCGAGAGGAAAGCGGGGCGCTGAAGTATCATTCGATTAGCGCG